GAAGAGTATCCATCGCTCATAAAATCAAATACAATATTCTTGGAATATAGTGTTTGCCAACAATTTGTCAACACGGATGGTTAGCTATCCATGCGACGGAAACTGATTTTTCTCTTTTAGAGATTAAATTTTACCCTGACTATTGTCAGCTAGATAACTGGACGAGACCTTTCTAGTGAATCTTTCGTTGTTACAAATCTCAATTGATTACAGCCCTACTTTGGAAACTCGCTATGTTTGCTAAAACTTGATGGCGTGCAAAATTATTCTTCCCCTTTAATAATCCATTTTTACAAATTTGTGATTTCAAAAAGTTCCCATCCATTCACAGTAATAACATATTAATCGAAATCAATACTTACTATAGTATCAGAACTCACATGACATGAAATTTCAATTTTTGTGCATATTTAAATAAAGGTTTTTCCAATTCCATGAATATAATTTTGAAGATAACTATGGTAATTCATTTGTGAGACAACATTTGTACGATTTTGCATCGGAAAATTTTCATATGAACAGTTTAATCTTCTAATTGAATTTTTGTAATTACTTCAGTGGACATCAATTCAGTGGTAATATTTTACAGGAATGATTTTTTGGATTTTTTTTCTCCATCATCATACTAAAAATGTCGGTAACTTTCAATAAAATAAGTTAAGTATTATAATAATAAATACTATGCTGAATAGTTTGATGGTTCAAAAATTGAACTATGAAAACAAAATATATTTTGTATTTTTTTTTATTTATTTTGTGTATTTCCTATAATGTTATCCAATTTGGTTCTGAAGAGCCTTAGGGTAAGTGTCTCAAGGTGAAACATCGATGTATACCAGTGAGGATGACAGTGTTTCATGTAAGTGCAATTTGTTACCATTCATTTAAAGTAGAACTCATGTGAGTTCTACTTTAAATGAAACTGAGTATGGAAAAGTATCTCTTCTGTATAATTCGGTGTTCATATAGAAGTATTTGTTTCGAAAGAATTTTTTTCTTTCGTGTAATTCAGTGTTTATATGGAAGTAGCTGTTTCAGGAGGACTTTCTTTCAGTTTGTGTCTGAAAGTTACTTCTTTGCATGATCTACACATCCATGTATAGAGTTACTCATTTTCAAATTGATTACTGTCCCAAAAGTTAATCACTCCTAATAATATAACCCCTTCAATTCAAAATCTAAAAACTCTTGCTAGAAGTTGAACACATTCTTGCTTCATTCAGAAGTTATCCACATTTTATTATGATGTGTATTATGATTATATTATGATGGAGACCTGTAAAAGCAGGTGAAAAAAAATTAATGAATGATAGATTTTAACGAAGTAAATTGTCTAGGGAGAATGATTAGATAATCATTCTTAGTCTTATTGAAGGAAGGAAACTTTCGAATTAATTTTTCATCACTTGTGTGTAGTAATGAATATTACTGGAGTTTTCTTGCAACACCAAACCTTCATTTCAACACCTCGATAGTTTCGATCACCAAGTGATCATCTTCAAGAGAAAGATCAACCTGTTTTGGTGATCGAAACACGTGTCGAGGTGTTAAAATAACGGTTTGGTGTTGGGAAAAAACTCCATAATAATATTCATTACTACACCAAAGGTTCCAAACAGTGCATCAAAAGGTCAATGAGAAGTTTAATTGATAGAATCCTATAAACGGATATGACTTATGACGAAGAGCAAAAATAATGCCGTATTGGTTGAGGGAAAAAATATGAGGAAATCCCAATATCAAATGTTTTCATGGGCATGATATGATATGTGTATAGATGAATATCTATACGTTCCTGATTGATTACAAGTTTTAGCAACGCACAGACAAAAAATTCCGGGTGCATCTGGATAATCAATTGGTGCCACAAATTCAACAATAAAAAATAAAATAATTCTACACTCTCATAGGCATCTAGTTGCCTGTTGTTGTTAACTTGTCTAACTAATCTTAAAGAACTAAAGTCTATGGAATGGTTTTGTTGCAAAATATGATGGGTGACTGCTGATTTTTCAGGTCTTCCATATTTTAAATGTGCTATGTGTTCCTTATATCTCACTTTAATAGATCTTTTTGTCTGTCCATAATATTTTGCATGGCAGTCCTTACATTCAATTTCGTAAATTCTAGACTTTTCCGAATTCTCGACTTTGTCTTTTGGACTTTCCAAAAGGCTCTGCACGTGTCGAGGTGTAAAAATAACGATTTGGTGTTGGGAAAAAACTCCAGTAATATTCATTACACACCAAAGGTTCCAAACAGTACATCATAAGTAAAAAATAAAAAATCGGAAAGTTGAGTAGAACTGATTATCGGTACCAACGGACTCCGAAGTTGCCCATCAAAAATTCAAGGAACACTTTCTGGTGAGATTTTCACTGGACAGTTTACAAAACCGCAATATCTCACAATGAAGTGTTACTCGAATACATTATGGGTTTTCAACAAGAATAGACAAATTCAATCACATACATTAAAATCTACTTGAGAAAGAACGATATATCTCTGGAAAAAAATCATCGTACATTTCGCTGATTAGTGAAATGCACTTCACTCATATTAAACAATAGTTTGCAAACACTGAAATAAACGCAGGTCATCAAGCCTAAAAACAGCCATAAATTTCCTAAATATATCGATTGAATAAATTATTCAAAAAATGGAAGTATGGCTTGCAATTCACTTGAAATATTTTTGGTGTATCATTATTTCAGTTTTATTTCAAATGTAACTGACATATTGAAAAAATGAAAACCAGAGAATGTTTATATGCTCATCTCTCTGAAGCTGCAACTGAAAGAATTATTCGTAATAATATATATTCCATAACGAAAAAAATGATATCTCATTCAATATAAAAAATCCCTAATTTTTTTTTCATCCTTTGAGATTCATTTTAAAACCGAACTAATGTCTTTCTCACTTGTCGCTTATCTATAGGTAAATTTTCTTTCATTCGTACTTTTTCTAATACTTCTATAAATAACCCTAGAGAGCCTTGACTGTGCAGTTGGAAAATTTTAACACGTATCTTACGCCCTTTTTAAAAAGGTTATTTATGCCTATATCAGGATTCTCGTCAGCAAATATATATCTTCACACACCCTCGTAAATTATTCTTAATGGGATTGCTTCAGGAAGCCGCTCTGTCGAAATATTCTATAAAACGGCCTAACTTCTCCTGGATCAGTACAAAATTCAAGACTGCAAGTTGACAGTTTAGTTGATTTATGTAGTCATAGATGATTTTTGTTTACAAGAGTTTCAATTATTAACGAATAGTATATGGTGTAATACAGATAATTGTTATATTGTGACTGAAAATAACATATCGAAATCCGGTGAAATCCAATCACTTTTCCATCATTTTTATATCAATTTAGTAAACATTATTTTAGGAAAAATATTATAAAGTGTTTATTTCACCACTTCAAAAATAGTTAATGTTGTTATTCTTTGCCACCAACTAATAGATATGAAAAACATGACAACTAACTAGATTTAGATTATCCATATGGTTGAATATATATTTTTCGAGAATAAATTCGTATAAACGTACACATTTTAGAAAGTAATCAAAAAGAGAACTCTAGTAGCCTGTTATGTCATTATTTCTACCAATTACTTGGACAGTTTTGTGAAATTGAATAAATTTAGATTTCTTTGTAGTAGAAATATATAAGGAAGTAGACATCAAAGAATGTTTCGTCTATCCTAGATATCTTCGTAGCTCATGAAATTTCATCGAGTGTCAAGCTAATTGTATGAAATCTGAATAAAAATGTTTTGGCGATCTCAAATTGTTTTCCTAAAGCATTTCTGTTCGGATTTTTGTTTTCAATAACAACAGTGTTTTGTGAATTCATCTGGATAGTTAGGATATTCGTTTTTATTTAGAAAATTAACCAAAAAATTCACGCAAGTCGGGGCAGTAGTTATCCTTTTCAGGTCCTGGCCGTTTTCTTCCTTGTTGGTCCTTCGTGAGATGTCGTCCTGGTATCCTTTACACTATGTAGCCTCGTGAAGGTGCGATCTGATCATTTGTATAGAACCTAGATAATAATAATATATGAATACGTGTGGTTCATTTTTTATAGCACGTTAAAAAAACTCGCTATGATAAATGCCACCGTTCATTGAAATTTTTTCTCAGTTCGTACCACAGTACCACAATTCTATGGACTCACATGTGGATGGGTTCACATTCTCACATTTACTTCTAGTTTCATTTACTTAATTAATGGTCGAAACTATAATGATGTCTCAATTTTGTCAGAAAAAAATTGAGGGACTGTGGGATTGTATCTGACTATTTAGATTAGGGATTAATGAAACTGTGTATCTTAGATTAGTCAAACTTCTTAGTGTTAGCCAACTTTGAATTTTCATCTAATTGAATTCATAGTAAATATTATATAAATTCATGAATTCAATGAAGACTTTATGCAAGGGTGAATATAATAGATTATATTGGAAATATATGTAGTTAGTTCAAATTTAGTTGTATAGTTCCATATGCAGAGCAGTATATTTATCGCCCAGAGAAATTCAGAGGAAAATCTCAGTGAAATATTGAGACGATGAGTATAAAATTTAATTCTTTTCCAGATTCAATGTGACTTCAAAATTGGACTTTGAAAAACCTGTGGATATACTTTCAACTCATTTCAACCTCTCTTCTTTTTTTCGTTAATTCAATTATTGTGACTTTAAAAATATTTCAAAAAGAGTTCCGATATCTGTAGACTTAGAAATGGTAGTTTAGTCGAATGTTTAACGCAGTTGTTGAAAGAGTAATAAAAAGTGTGTGCTAATTTCATCAAATTCCTTAGTCACTAGCTACAGCGCGATTATTTAATTATTAGTAGCTTAGACACGTACCTAGCTGAAATTTCATGAATGCTAACATTTCGTTTTCTAGAAAATGATAGATTTTTGTTGTCTCTATTCGTTTCCGCACGAAAATTGAATTGTTCACTAATAATCTTTTCGTTTTTTAGATTTTATGTGGTCTCTGGGAGCTCTACCAGACGGTAAGTGGTTATTGTAATATTTATAAATTCTGATGACAGAAATTGCTTTCAATATTCTTATTGGAACTGTTCTTCCAACTTCATACTGAAAATTGCTTATTACAGTAAAATCATGTTTCACTCATCTTTATCGAAAGCTGAGAGTAACGCCAATTTGATAGTGCGTACTTGAAACCTCTGAAGTAAAATTAATCTATCAATCTCCTGCGGAGATCATTATGACTCGGCTAGCGAAACGCTCGTCGAGAGACCGTAATTTTGTTCTGATGTTAGGAAAGTATTCTCAATAGATTAACACCAATGTTGACATATTTATATCATTATGGCACTAAATTTATTCTAATAACATGAACATATGTCACAAATATCATATATTAACGAATCTAATCAACCAATATATAATAACCCAAAAAAGAATCAACTTCATTATTAATTTTTCCCATCGTTAGTCTTGATTCACGAGAATAGTAGATATTCTGGGCTAGATTCAAAACTCATTTTCCTATGAAAAACTTGTATTATCACTTTCGACATGTGCAATATTGGAAAATATATGGCGTAGGCTATTATTAAAATATGTTTTTGATAGTTCTGAAGCATTTTGTACGTTTTTACCATCGCATCGATCAGTACACACATTCTATAAAGTTTTGTAGCAATGTTACGTATATTATCAGTTTCAAAGAAGTATTGCACTTCTTCGAATCCATATTGTACACCATATTGTAACCTTCACTTATAAGTCTTCCAAATCTTAATATAGAAGACACATAAGTAGAGATATAAGATAATTACAATCATTGATCGAATGATGGAACTTTGGTTGATAATTTTACCTTGTGCACTCAAATCTAATTGGGCTCAACAAATCGATTATTTAGCAGTTGTCGATCGTCTGCGAACGTTTATCACTTAAACTATTTTCTACTACAAATAGTATGAATGCCTTGACAAATCTCCGTCAAACTAACCATACACAGATTTACTAAGAGAGTAGAAAATTCATATGGTTCCTCTTCTCATTATTTGTTTCACATAATTTTTTAGTCTCGGGAGGAAATTAACATTGCATTCCTCAAAGCCATCTTTTCTATAACATCTTGATATCCCACTTTCAAACATTATAATTTAGCTTCTGCTACTTTTCCAGTATATGACTGACAAAATGTTTTCATTTAAAAAAATTATCAATATGTACTGACTTCAATAGTGAGAGAAATCTCCAGGGCTTATGAAAATGGAATTTTTGAAACATTCATTACGATTCAAACTGGTTGAATAATTATTTGGCACTTAAAATAGCAATTATATTGTGAGAATATAAAAATGGCAAAAGTATCATTCAATTCATAATCATGGGCATAATTATAAGAATATCATATATTAATATATATCAATAAAGTGAAAGTAGTACATTGTGAATAATACCGAAACTTTTGAATATGAATTCCAAAAACTACACGTGACGATTTGATCTCCACAAACTTTATTTGAAAAATATATATCACAACATGTTTCGCTAAAACATTAGCTTTTTAAGTGATTTATACTTCAAGTTGTTCTAAACATCAATATTTGTATACTACTGGTAACCATGATTGAGACTACCTCCAAAAAATTACCTGAACTAACGTACCTGTTCAATTATGATCACCTGAAGCATATTACCTCACATCCACATCAATAATGATTCTTTCTCGGTTTTTAAGAAAACAAGTTCATTAATGGTGATCTATTCAAATCTAGTTGGTTATTCATTAGAATGTTTGAATTTTTAAGTTTATTAATGTCCATTGATTTCAAATGATCCAGTTTCAAACCTTTATTTTCTATGTGCAAAATTTCGAACTCTTCGTTGAAGATATGATTTTCTTCTAGAAGATGATTTGAATATGTTGAATTTGTTTTCTCATTTACATAGCTCGTATGATGTTCCTGGATTCGATTCCTAAATGTTCTGCCGGTTTGAACAATATACACCTCAGGGCACGTTCCACACTTCAATATATATACTCCTGATTTCTCGAATTTGGATGTTTTGTCTTTATTATTTTTAACTAACTTTCCCAACGTATTACTTGTTCTATATGCAATTTTAATATCTCGTTTCCTCAAAAATGAAGCCACTTTTTCCGTTGGTTGTCCAATATACCTTATCAATAGGAAAAACATCTCGTCTTATGGATTTCCCATAATTAAATCTTTTGAGGAGTAATAAATAGTGTTGTTAAATTGAAAATAATTTTGTTTGAGACATAACGACAGAAGGTCAATTATTTCTCGTTTTATGATTGAATTAACTCTATTTTTATCTAATAATTCTATTACTGAAGTAATAGTATCACCAGGAGGTATGCTGGAAAATAGATTCTGCACATCAAAGATAGTAATTTTGCGTTGTCTGGTAGAGGTATCTTCTCTATTTTATTGATTAAGTCATATGAATTTTGGTTGGAAAATACAATGGTTCAAGATGATATTGATTAGCCTTTTTGATAATTTAACTGATGGTGTAGTGACAAAGGAAACCACTGGTCTAATTGGAGAACTCTGTTTGTGCAGTTTTATGAGTGAATATAATTTGGCATTTGGGGGTTCATCAATGTTAATTTGAACTTTTCCCTTTTAGTAAAAGGTATGTTTGAATTTTTCAAAAAATATTTCACTTGTCTTTGGAAAGAATTAGTTGGATCACGTTTCAGCATTTCAAAATTTACTAAATTCAAGAAATCAAGGGTTTTGTTGACATATAGTCAATTCGGTCAATGGCAACCACAGTATTGCCTTCATCTGCTCTAGTCAATATAACATCATTTTCGTTAATTTTACTGCGTATTGATTTACAAGTTTCAATTCATTCGTAAAACTACCTTCTTTCAAAAATTCTGATTTATGATATGTGACGCCTGATGTTTGTTATTAATGCTATTCAATGCCCCTCCTAATGCCATTTCTGTTTCGATCCCCAAAATTTCAAAGTTGTTAGTGCTATTTTCATTTCCAATATTATATTTGAAACCTTTTTCTATCAACACATTCTCCGTGTCTGTGAACTGAAACTTCGATAAATTTATGAACCTGTCATAAAATTTATGATTCGTGAATTTCTTTCTAATAGGTAGAGATGTTTTCTTTTCTATTAGTGAATTTAGTTTTTTTTTTTTTTTGAGTGCAGTACTTTTTATGAATGATTTGATTTACTTGTTCTCTTACCTTAAAATCTGAAATATCGAATTCTATATTATGACACCTATGAAGTAATTCCGTGTGTATTACCTCAAGATATATATTTGTGTTGTCCCTCTTGCTATATTCCAGTTTTCGCAATTCTTTCGTCAATTTCATTTTTCCCGTTTTTATGCCATCTTGCGCTGCCTGGCTTCTATTCGATGTTTTCAGTTGGATGTTCAAAAGGTTTAATTATGGGAAATCCATTAAGTCCCTTACTTGCAGAAATTTTCATGGATAATCTAGAGAAGTCGATCTTTAAACATTCTTTGATTATAAATTTCTTCTACTGGCATAGATATGTGGATGACTTTTTGGTATGTTTTACAGGTACTGAGAGGCAATTAGATACAATTAATAAAATTCATGAAAACATAAAATTCACTATTGAAATAGAAGCAGACAACGCAATCAATTTCTTGGACCTAAAAATTAGTAGAATGAACAACAAACATGATTTTTCAATTTATCACAAACCGTCCTATACGGATATTACTATACATTACAATTCTACACAACCTTATCAACACAAAGTAGCAGCTTATAATAGCATGATTCACATATTAGTCAATGTTCCTCTTTCAATAGATAATTTCGATGAAGAACTTAATATCATCAAGAAAATTGCGGTTAACAATGGGTTTAAAGCCGAATCAATAAACAAAATACTTGCCAAGAAAGTCTACGCAAGACCGATTCGAGACGTTTTTCCTATCGATAAGGTAGATAATAAAAATTATAGAGCTTTAACGTATTTTGGACAACCAACGGAAAAAGTGGCTTCATTTTTGAGGAAAAGAGATATTAAAACTGCATATAGAATAAGTGATACGTTGGGAAAGTTAGTTAAAAATAATAAAGACAAAACATCCAAATTCGAGAAATCAGGAGTATATAAATTGAAGTGTGGAACGTGCCCTAAGGTTTATATTGGTTAAACTGGCAGGACATTTAGGAATCGAATCGAGGAACATCATACGAGCTATGTAAATAAGAAAACAAATTCAACATATTCAAATCATCTTCTACAAGAAAATCATATCTTCAACGAAGAGTTCGAAATTTTGCTCATAGAAAATAAAGGTTTGAAACTGAATCATTTGGAAGCAATGGGAATTAATAAACTTAAAAATTCAAACATTCTAATGCATGACCAACAACATTTGAATAGATCACCATTATTGAACATGTTTTCTTAAAAACCGAGAAAAAATTATTATTGATGTAGATGTGAGGTAATATGCTTCAGGTGATCATAATTGAACAGGTACGTTAAGTTCAGGTAATTTTTTGGAGGTAGTCTCAATTATAGTTACCTATAGCATATAAATATTAATGTTTAGGACAACTTGAAGTATAAATCACTTGAAAAAGCTAATGTTTTAGCGGAACATATTGTGATATATATTTTTCAAATGAAGTTTGTGGAGATCAAATCGTCAGGTGTAGTTTTTGAAATTACTATGGATCTCCATCAAGTAACGGTCGAATCAATCAGAAAATTCTGAATATGAGTAACAATTGTCAACACCTGTCTCATTTCTCCTCATTCATTCTCTTACTTCTAGCAAAATTATTTTTCTTCGTACTCCAGAATTTCTGGTAACTTTATGAATGGCATTATATGATGTATGTATGGTTGATAACCTGTATAAATAAATAGGATAACCTACGGAGGTTGTTACAATGATCATATCAATAAGAAGGTACAACTTGAAAGAACAAAACTGGTAACTGATTCAAGTTGCCTAAAGCTCCCCCATACCTAAAGTTCTGCAATACCTAAAATTCTGCTAAATGCCTAAAGTTCTGATATCACTATTTTCGCCAATTTCTACCAACTTATTACATCGCAAGCACATACCTGGGTTGGTCATATGATATATCTGAAAAATGATTGATTTTTATAATCGTGAAGTGAAAAATGAGTTTCACAATAACCCAAGAGGTGGAGTGTAAATATTAAATACAACTGGAACCTTTTCTAGCCAAAGGTTTTTGATATAAAAAAGTAATTTCAGCAAAGTCGCAGAGAAATCTATTACTTTTCCAAAAATATTTCCACTAACACCTTCTATAACTGGAAGCATAAGACAAAAACTCATTCTTCACTTCAAGTAATTCAACAGGGACTTGGATCTCTATCTTTATCATCATATCCGCCATATACGCCATATCCAGTCAGTTTATCGCATTCATTTGTTTTTCAGGTTTTCCCGCTGCGGCTTACGCCGCTTACGCGGCCGGTCGAGGTTACTCAGGCTACCCTAGTTTCGGACTGCCGTATCCAACAGGTAATGCTTTGACCAGTCTACACCACCACCCGCTGCAGCTGTTGTCATACCCTCTGGACCATCATCTGGGAGTGTACGGTAACGCTGCAGCGGCTAGTCTGCATGCCATGCCCCTGTGAACGTTGGCAACACCGCGAATCGGGCAACATCGGATAGTAATTTCATCGAGGCCGATGAATTTCCTAGACAGAGAATAACACACTGGCAAACACAGATATCTTTTTCTCAGTTAGGCATAGGCAGGATTTTTTGTGTAATTTTTCTAGCCCGTCTTCAGATATCTGTGAATCGGAATATCCTAATTTTAAATGATAGGCATCCATTATTATATACAGTCGAATCATACTTTTCAGATTGTGGAAGATTATTAACAAAAAAAAGTCAGTTTTGATTCGGCAGATAAGTTCTGAAAAGGGATTGAAATATAGTACTGTTAGATCATTTTTATAATTTTTCTAGAAAAAAGTAATCAAATACAAATTGAATAAAGATTCAAGTATAACGTATATTTCTACCATTTTCCTCAGGCGCTTAATTTCCTCCGTTATTATTGCAATCAGAAATATCTTTTGTAACATTTGTATAGTTATTACGTGAACATCTGATGTACTGTTTTTTATATTAATACATGCATAACTGAATTTTGTCTATGAATACAATACATATTGTTCAAACAATATAAATAATTCATGGGGTATTCATGGGGTTTTTTTCAAGTTTATTCTCTTGGGGGTATTTTCTTGCTTTGCTTTCTCTTTATACGCCCCTGTTGTTTGTTGTGTTTACTTTGTTTCAAGAAAATCAACAACTATACAGTGAATTCAAATAAGTTAATATATTTATATAGGAGCATAAGAAAACGTAAAGTGTTACACCCTCAAATTTAGAATGCCTAACTACTTTGTACTGTTACTACGTAGTGAATACTTATATATCTATGATAAAAATGGTGTAGACTTCTTGGCGGGCACTGTATATTTTCTCATGTTGAAAATAATTATTTATGGACATTCATTTCCTGAATAACAAAATCTTCCACGAAAGTGTTAACGAATAATCAGTAGGAAGATACTTTCTATCATCAAAAGTTTTTTATATCGTTATGAAAAAATACTTCTAGGAGAGATTGAAAATGTTCTTGAAATTAGATGATAATCAAATTGACTTTTTTTCCTAGTATCTACTATATTCATCGTACCACTTGCTAGATTGACGTCATCGAGAAAAGGTGCTGGAAACTTCATACATCCTTTCATATTAGTATTTATCATTATTTGACTTCAATAAAACAATAAATAAATAACCTAATGAATAATTTCGCTGCATAATTCGTGACGAAATGAATGAACATATTGTGAAATTTTATTCTTCGTGACTGGTTACAAATAGGCATTTTTCTGTCATTTGCAAGAATTTTGAAAAGTGTCATTTCATTTATGTGAATTTGAAAAGGGTTATATATTTTATTTAGGGGTTGATCTCTGAGAGGATTATTTGAAAAATTGTGTAATATTTTGGAAAAGGTTTACAAAACCGCGTGTCGTTATGCAATAACTTACTTGAGTAGGAATACCTGCCATTCTATAGCGAAACACGTGTCGTAGTTTTGTAAAACTGTCACAGTGAAAATCTTACAGTAATTTATATGAGTGAGTTTTGATGTCCATGATCCATTTAATCTTCCATTTCCGGTTCCATTTAATCTTCGAAAAATAATTTCACATTTGAATAGGTAACGAAATATATAAAAACAAGCTTTCAAGTTAATGTAACTACATTGTCACTGAATTACAGATCTCTATTGAACTAAATCACATGAAGTTTGAAATTCTTTGAAAGAAATGATTAAAACTATTATTTGAATTGCAATTTTTCTGATAGACAATAATTCTTTAATGTATCGAGTGAATGTTAGAAATGTATCAAAACTTTTTTGAAAACTAATTATCCAAAATAATATTTTGTTTTCGAAATGGAGGAGCGCTTCTAGTTTTCTAGACTACTTCAGAATAATTAAAACAGGTAGGTGAATAATGGAGGCAAATTCTCAATTCATGAATCTTATTAAAAATGCTATAATATCGAAAAAATTACTAGTCGTCTCAATTTTTCGCTATGATAATAAATATCCAATTCAAAAACCTCAAAATTTACTTTTGTTACGTGAAGAGGGCTGGAAAAATGTCTTTTTTCCATGATAGCTTGAACTAATATTACTCTAGATAGAACATGATAATATGCGCTAGGTCTAGTTTAGTTTAGGTCAATAAAAAGGTAACGAGTAAAACTGTTAGGTTAGGTAAAAGGTAACGTTGTGTACGATAGTGGATCCCTAAACCATTCCCAGTAATGTATTTTAGTCTTGAATTTTAGTTCCGGATTTATCAGCTATTAGTTGAAGCCATTCCGTTTGCATATGAATGACACAAACAAATGCTACAACACTTTGAGTTTGGCACAAACATTCCATTATTATCTTCAATGAATTTAAGTTATCAAAATTTTGATACGTCGCTCTACATGTTCATCTACTTGTTACAATGAAATAAGTGAATTACAGATTGAACCGTCGAAAAGTAGTGGGTATTTTCTATAATTATTATCTATTATATGATATTTTTTTATAATTTTTCAGAATGTAGGTGGTTGAAAATATGAAATAAAGTAGCCATGAAATCAAAAAAAGCAGTTGTATGGATCGAATGATATCCGGTATCATGAGATAAATGAGATATGAGAATAATGTTTTATCACGATGGAAAAAACGGTATGGTCTTAAGTCTTTAGTATCAGTAATTTCCAAGGATTTATTAGTGTCTCCCGATTAATTGACATTGAGTGAATAAACATCTGCCATATAGGTAATATTATTTAAAATTTTGAATTTGCTGTTATTATTTCTCTAGTTTGAAATAATTGTGAAGTATAACCTTCTAAATACGCCCAAAGCCTAAATCTCTGCATAATCAATAGTGTTTTGATTCATGTTTTCATTCAGCATGCAATAATATACAACAACATGATTACATTATTTTTGAGAATTCATTTGTGTCAAGCGAAAGTAACAAGAAGCATTGGCTCCCTCACAAAGAAGGTATTTTAAGGAATATTATAAAATTATTGATTTTTGTTATTTCATATTGAACAAATAATAATCTTATATTAACATAGTAGATCGACGTATCGATATTTTTTGAAAGGCTTGAAACGGTAAGCCATATGAAAATTTGAACATATATTGTTATTGTTGCTGTGACAGAATATATAATACCATGTGTTATGAAACGCTTATTCAAAATATTTTATATAATTTTCACTATTTTCACCTTGATGCCTAAATGCAGTCGTCGTATCTGTGCGACGCCGTCCCATTACCCTCCATCCAGATACACTTCGCGAATGGACACACCCCACAAGATTTTATAAAATATTTTTCTTCATTTTTATCTTTACTATTGAATTCGATAAATTTTTTTTAATGTTGTTTTCTCAATGAAAGAAATGAGATATCGTGCTACGTTCACCAGAGCATGGTATCAGTAGATATTGTGGTAGTAAAAAAAACTAACGTCCGAACTAGGTGTACCTTTACGCGACGCGTGTTCACTGTTTTACCGTTTTTAATAACTTTAGCTGGGACAATATTGTGAAAACTTTTTATTCAATGCTTCACGAAGTGATCTCGATAATTAATGAATTCTTGAATTGCAAGAATATCTTTGTTTGCAGTCATAAGAACGTAAAAATTCATTTGGATCAGTTTCCAGTTTAGGATCAGAACTCCTAAAAACATGGATAAAAAATTATTATTTTACTTAAAATCTCTCTGAAAGTTTTTATTTTCAGATATTCGAAGTATTTTTTTATAGCAGATAAATTACTAACAAATTTGTAAAATGTAAGTGGGAACTTTCGTTAGCTATGAAATTATTCAAATTATGACAAATTATACCATCTACTGAACCAATTGAATTTCTCAATTTTTGTAAATTTGATAATATATCTGAAAGTTATGGTACAGTAAGTTTATAAGAGCATTTTAAAATTAATGATTTCTGCTGAAAATTGTTTGTAATCTAACAATGGAATTTCCCTTTTACCACTTATGGCATCAATAGGAGTATGCTCTGCTCCTATTAAACTGATGAAAACTTGAATTTATATCGGCACTGGAATGTGCTTCGTTAGCGAGAAAAGCTCACTACTCAGAATTTAAGATAGTATAAAGAAAATACTTTTGTCCAATTCTTACTAAGTTTGTTTGAAGGTGATTGACAATGTTTCATGATGAATTTCACTAGTTCGGACTTCCATTGTCTACTATATAAAATGATTTGAAATTCCTGAAACAACTAAAAAAGAAAAATTAAAAATGAGATAGCTGAAAATAATAATTATATTAACCAAAATAAACCTGAAATGAAATAATAGTGAAATAAAATACAGGTAAAAATAGAACAATTGAATAAATAAAAATGAAGAAATGAAAAAAAAAAAGAAAATTAAAATAAAAAGTGAAGAGATTCCAAGTCACGTTAGTTCACGACGTTTCGATTGTTAGTATCTACAATCGTCTTCGGGTGATGACTGGACTGATTCCTCCGAGAGATGACTATTTATAGGTCGTTCGAGTACTTTCACTTATCCCCGCTTTCCATTTTCCGCTTCACTGGTTCCGTGGGAGATGACCGTTTTGGCAGGAGTTGGCCATTTTTCGCTTGATGATGGGTTTCCATATGTTGCGTATTTCTACGCTGGCTTGGCTGAATACGTTGTTGGACAACATGTATGCGGCTTCCTTGAATTTTCTCCTAAACCAATATCCCTCTCTGTGCAAGATGTTTGGACCCATCAACACAACATCGAGTGGTCCCAAGCTGAGATCTTGCACAGAGAGGAACATTGGTTTAGGAGAAAATTCAAGGAAGCCGCATACATGTTGTCCAACAACGTATTCAGCCAAGCCAGCGTAGAAATACGCAACATATGGAAAACCATCA